TTCCTATAATGTTCTCTAGATCCAGAATCCAACCCTCATCTCCAACCCTTTACTGGCTCCAAATCAGATCCTAATCAAAGTTTCAATACCAACACAACCATGATCCAGATACAACTCCCCAAAAAGTTTCTTCCTCCAATGATTTCTCACTAACTCTCAGGCATTGCATCCTGAGGTGGTATTAGGATACCCCCTAATAATTCTCCTAGCAGGTAATCAGTTCTTCATTGCCAGCTCCTCACTAGCCTCACTGTTACTACCCAGTCCAAGCCATCATCATTTCTCGCTGGGTTTATCACATTAGCCTCTTTAACTGGTCTCCCTTATCCTATACCATCCCTACCTCCATCCCATCCTCACACCAACAGACTATTTCCAATACAACAAACAGGGCGATCCTGTTAAAACGTTAAGTCAGGTTATGTTACATCTCTGCCAAACCCTCTAATGATTTCCAATTAGATAAAATCCAAACTCTACCATGGTCTCCAAAGTCTTGAAAGATCTAGATCTCTCTAACTTGACTTCCTAATAACACCTCTCTTGCTCACTCCATTCTGAACACACCGGTCTGCTTGCCTGCCATTGCTCAAATAAACTTGTTTCTTCCCTCATATTATTCACAGGGCTTGCTGCGTCCTCACTCCCTTCTAGGTCTTTATTCAAAAATCATCTTCTCTATTATTAAGAAAAAGGCTCTCCTTTTCTAAGTACTTAATATTTCAACTCTACTAACATCATATACTCCTTTCTTGCCTTTTCTCATTAGCATTTATCATTCTCTAATATATAATCTCTCTTCCCCACTATATAGGGAATGTAAACGGGAGGGAAGGGATATTTGTCTGCTCTGTTCATCGCTCTATCCCAAGCACCTAGATAATAAATAGTTGCTGAATGAAATCCAAAAGGCCATCTCCAGCCTTAGCTCCCAGCCCAGCCATCTCCAAAGTGGCAATCAAGGAACATCAATTTCAATGCACCCATCTCCTTGGCTGAAATACTATCTTCTTGCATGGATCACCATGATTCTCTTATAACCCCTCTTCCTACAGTCCCCATAACAATTATCCTGACTCCTTATTATCCGTGTCTCTGATGACTTATACACCTGCAGACCGTCTGTAGCAAATGTACAGATGACATCAGATCTCTCACCCAGCTTAACTCAGCCACTCCAGGTTTCCCAGCACTATAACCCAGCCTTAGCTTCCCCTAAACCGACCCTCAATCCTTCCCCCAACCTAGCCCACAGTTAGCGCTGTTCCTCATGGTCTCCACCTGGAGTGCTATTATCAACCAATGCTGGAAATGACTCTTACACTTTGACATACTTTACATACTGCCTGTTCATAGTACCTCAGTCTCTGCTTGAAAGCATCCGATGATGGAAAACCCACCACTCTAATCCATTTAGACAATCTTGCTCCATAAAGTCTCACTGAAACCAACTCACGTCTGTTGAATTCTCGTTTCTACATATTTGTCCTATTTCTTCCCAGTTTAAACTTCTACAAGGAAAGCCCTATTCCAGCTCCCTCTGAGAACCCATCTGACAGCTGGAAACAGTGAAATCCCCAGCCAAAATCCAGAAAAACAGCCCCAGTTTTTTTGTTTTTGTTTTTTTTTAATGTTGCTCCTAGAATGTCTTGTAGACTCTGACCAGTCTGATCATCCCTCTTTGGAAGTTCCCTAAGAACAGATCAGAGAAGAACACATACTCCCAAAGGAGTGGGACCACAACTTCCACAAGTCACATTTTGACTCCTTGCTTCTCACTTCACATGTTCTCTGAGGCAGTGTTTCCACAGAATAAAGAATGTTCATATCACTACTGCTGAGAATAGTAAAACCCCTGAGGCTGCTTGAAGATCTATTGTGTACTATGTAAACTATGATACATTAAAACAATGGAATGCTGAGCAGTAGGTAAAATACAAGGGAGAACTATATTACATTGGTATTATATGGAAAAAATAAAGTCGCAAAGAATGGTAAGAAAAGTATGACTCCACCTGAAACTTCAACTGTATGTATATATACACTGGATTTGAATACATACACAAAATAAATACACGGAAAAGAGAAGGTACACCAAAAAAATGCAACTTTTAGGTACACCTAATGGAAGCAGAATGAAGGTGAGGATTTTATAATCTCTATATACTTCTGCATTGTCTAAATATTTTATAGTTTATTTTGTATTTTTTAAAGGACTTTGTTAGCTTTTTTCCCCAATCCACAACTCAAGTCCTCTTGACTATGCAAAGCCTATCTCCAGTTCAACAACCCCTACCCAACTTCAGGGTTCACAGTTTCTTGCTTCTTCGCTGGCTTCTCATTAGCACTGCCTCAGCTAGTCTTTCTTGTGTCAGCTTCCAGAGTCTCTACCTTAGCTAGAAGCCCTGCAAAGCTGCCCATGGCTCTTAGGTTCAGAGCCAAACTCCCCTAGCAAGACTACCTCATGGCACAACCCCAGAGAGCACATCTACACAGAATTCGGTAGTTGTGTAATATGGTAACCCCACATCCCTAATTCAACCTTCAAAGCCCTTCCCAGTTTGCTCTTCCTCCTGCTATCCCACCACCCAACCAACTAGTCATCCAAAGCTATTTCTGGTTACACCCACACACATGCTGATACTTCAGACTTTCCTAACAAATGCCTTGTCATCCAAAGTTCTGCTATGACATTATTCCTTTATGAAGCCTGACCCACATTCTTCAAGTAAAATTTATTCTCTCTCCTCTGAAAGATTACATGGTTTCCCAATCATTTTCCTGCAAATACACACAGGATACTTGTGTGTTTATTAGCAAAAGAGAAACTAGACCATACCATTTCTCTGCTTAAAACTCTGGATGGCATCCCAAAAGACTCAAAGTTCAAAGTAATTTACCAGTCTACAAGACTTCCCTGCAAGACCTGACAGTTATCTAACTAATCAATCTAGCCACACAAGTATGTTGCAGCCAGGTTTCATTTCTGACCCACATACACACATCAATCTCATTCCCTGTATCAGAGCTTTTGGGCTATCTTCATCCATAGATACCAAAGAAAATAGCTTTATTAGAGTAGGAACCATGTCTGGTTTGCTTAATCTATCTCCAGTACCTACAACAGTACGTACCCTATAGTAGGTACTCAGTAAATTAAATATTAGTGATTTAACACTGAAACTACCATATCAAAATTTTGGCTTTTGTCTACCTTCATGATCTATGGGCTCTTCAGAACTAGGGCTGGGTATTATTTCTGTATCCCTAATACCAGTACTTAATATATAGTCAGTACCTACAACTATTGCTGAATAAATGGAACATGTGCTTTTTTGCTCAACTCAAACTTCCAGGCCTTTCCATTTAAATATGTCCAGAAGTAAATCTTCTCTATCCTGATTTTGTACAACTGAGCTTTAAAATTGAAATGCAAGGGCAGCCCCAGTGGTACAGTGGTTTAGCGCCGCCTGCAACCCATGGCGTGATCCTGGAGACCCTGGATCAAGTCCCACATCAGGCTCTCTGCATGGAGCCTGCTTCTCCCTCTGCCTGTGTCTCTGCATCTCTCTCTCTCTCTGTGTCTCTATGAATAAATAAATAAAATCTTAAAAAAAAATTGAAATGTAAGACTCCTGGACTCAATATTAAGTGATAATTTAAAATTGGGCAAAAAATTTGATTAGATATTTCATAAAAGAAAATATATGAATTGGAAATACGCAAAGGAAGAGTAGACATCATGGAAATGCAAATTAAAACCACACTATTCCAGATCCAGATCCACCACAATCGTCAGAAGTAGAAAAATGGACGTCAAATGTTGGCAAGGAAATGGAAATCTCATACATTGTTAGTGAAAGCATTAAATATACCACTTTGGAGATGGCCTAGCAGCTTATTAGAAAACCAAACACACACACACACACACACACACACACACACAAATAGAAAACCAAACACACATCTAGTCCAAGAGCAATTCTACTCCTAGATTTTCATCCAAAAGAAAACATTATGTCCACGAAAAGATTTATACAAGAATGTTCATAGCAGCTTTATTCATAATAGCCAGAAATTTGTAACAGCTCAAGTGTCCATCAATATGAGAATGAATAAACTATATTTATACATGTAATAGAAAACTACTTGGTAACAAAAAGAAACAAACTATTAGTATCTACAACATGGATGAATCTGAAGCATAAAATACATAGATTCCACTTATAAAGTTTTAAGACAGGCAAAACTAATCTGTAGTGAAAAAAATTCAGAATACTCCCATGTCCCCCAGGGGAGAGGCAGGTATCAACTGAGAAGCAGCAGACTCAAAGGGGAATAGAAAAGTTCCTTATCTCGATAGGAATGTAAGTCACAAATGTATTTTTCATCTAATGGTACACTTAAGGTGTAAACAATCTTATTGTATGTAAACATTACCACACCCTCCTCAAAACCTTATAAGAAATAATGAATGCAAGACATATTGAAATATTTATGGTGAAATATGATGTTTGCAATTTATTTGAAATGCACCAAAAGAATAAAATGGTATGTTGAACAGATACGTGGTAAAACATACAGGAACATTTAAACTGTAGAATCTAAATGGTAGATATATGGATATTTCTTATATAATTGTTCAACTTTTCTGTATGCTCAAAGTTTTCACAATAAAATGCTGGGGGAAAATTATGTGGACTCACAGTGGAGAACTGCAGGTTTATCCCCGATACTTCATTGAGAATTACAAAAGTATTACCAGTAATTATCTGTGGTGGTGAGGTTACAGGCAACAACTGGAGCTGCTGCCTTTTTGCTCACTCCATGACTTCTCAAAGATCCCAGATAGGTTTTTGATCTGGGGCAGACACATTGGCAGTAGGCCAGGTGCTTCTTCTGGTGCTAGGCCTCGATTTCTGTAGATTAGAATATTCTTTCCTAATCTATTACCATGTCCACCCTTTCCCCAGGACTGATCCTGTTCTATCCTTTTTCAGGTACTTCTCTGACCAGACTAAAACCTCAACCAGAATGTTGGGGGCCTACATGTGCACATGGGACTGGATTCCACCATTTCTAAGAGACCAGAGCTTCTTGTGCTACCAGTTGTCTTTTCCCAATCGCTTGGTTCTCATTGGAATGAGCATTCTGTACAAGCAAAGCTTTAAAATGTACACTTTTCTATCCTTTGAGTCATATACCCTTTAAATTATCTAATCCCTGGGATTATTACTCACTCCCAAATCCCGTGGATCTCCTTTAAAATCTATCTCTAGGGACGCCTGGGTGGCTCAGTGGTTGAGCATCTGCCTTTGGCTCAGGGCATGATCCTGAAGTCCCAGGATCGAGTCCCACATCAGGCTCCATGCATGAAGCCTGCTTCTCCCTCTGCCTATGTCTCTGCCTCTCTCTGTGTCTCTCATGAATAAATAAAATCTTAAAAAAATAAAAATAAACTCTCTCTAAGCCTACCTCTGTTTAGAAATCTTAACATAGGGCAGCCCCAGTGGCTCAGTGGTTTAGCGCTGCCTTCAGCCCGGGGCGTGATCCTAGAGACGCAGGATCGAGTCCCAAGTCGGGCTTCCTGTATGGAGCCTACTTCTCCTTCTGCCTGTGTCTCTGCCTCTCCCTCTGTGTGTCTCTAATGAATAAATAAAATCTTAAAAAAAAAAAAACTTAACATAATTAAAATTTCTAGTTTGTGCCACTTTCCTATACTATATCCTTTGAACAGCTACAACCTTATGCTAGACTCATTTACTTTTCATCTAGTGCCAGTATAATTAATCTCATGGAACTTTCAGTTTCCACTATAGGATTTGAATTTTACAAAAGCATATTAAATAACACATTTAAGTGAGTAAATAAAAGTCTCAGAAATTTGCTCATTTATATTTTTAAGAGAGGTCCAGCTAATATTTGCCAGGTCTTTGTGCACTCTCTTCTGAACCAGCATATCTTGCCTGGATGTCTACAACAGTCTCCTAACTGATCTCATTTCCATTCTCAGTTCAACAAAGTCAGAGACCTTCCCTAACTCCAACCTAACATTAAACCCAGTTTCTCATAAACCTATCAAAATATGTAACCTGTTTATTTACTTATCTATTACTTCTAGTAACTATAAATCCAACAAGAGAAGGGATCAGATCTGTCTTGCTCCTATTCTAGCGACTCACACAAAGCAGGTGCTTTGTTAAGTGTTTGTTGAATTAATGCTAGGAAAGGACTGATAATCCAAGGATCCTCAGAAATGACCCAGATCTAGTCCTAGCCTGCTGCTGAAGCCATCAAGGGAGAAATGAACTTTTTAGGAACACTCACCACAAAAGACTAGCTTGTTATTTCTATGTACTCCCAACACCCCAACCTTTCCATCTGGTGCTAGTGAGGAATTGCAAACAGAAACAACTAAGTATATAGCACCAATGTTTTCTGCCTTTGCTTTCTACCACCTGAAGTCTTGTTCCCTTCTGCTCTCCCTTGTAAACTCTTTTTTTTTCTCCATTGTCAGAAATAAAAAGGAACTAAGTGTTCATCTAAATCCAAGTCCTTCAATTCAAAGTGGAGAGGTAAAATGTGATTTAGCTAAGGCCACATACATGGCTAAACAAAATGAAGACCAAAACTCAAATATTCTGACTCCAACTTTGACTAGAACTTTGGACTATAGTCATAACCTTCTCCCCTGAAGAACTCTCCTTCTTATCTCCAACAGCAACGTGATGTAGTGAGCAAGAGTATGGGTTTTGCAGTAAAGTGACCAGGCTCCAAATACTGGCCTTACTTCTCTCCCTAACCACAATGAGATACTACTATACACCCACCAGAATGATGTCCTACCTACGTAACAGGCAGATTACTAAGCCTCAGAGTAAAGTGGAGGATATTACCTTTTTTGGAAGATTTATATAATGTATGCAAGGTGCTTCACAGTCTGGAACTATTATTACCAATAAGTGTTACCTATTATTATCCTTCAAGCCTAAATCTCATATGGTCTCCTTTTCCCAATATCTCCACCACTCAACAATTTCTCTCTCTGGACTACTGTACTCAATCCAAACCAAACTGTATTGTCAGTTTCTAGCTCGTCTGTTTGTAAAATAACATCTTTCGAACAAACACTGCTTCAGCATCTCCTATATTTCACACAGCATAGACCTAACCACGTGATAGCAATGCAAAGCACCTTGAGGGAGCCTTGCAACAGTGTGCTGGAGCAGGCTTGTATGGTTTGCAAGAGACAACTGTTAAATATTAAGTAATTTTGTAAATGAATTTGGTAAAGTTTTAAACCACAAATTGGGCAAATTCTAAAAATTATAGTTCCCCTTCCACAACTACCTGGTTTACCTTTGTTGACAGGGAACCCTACTTTGCCAAGAGAGTAACCTGTCCATTTTCTATGGCATCCCCTCCCCTGTCTTAGAGTCGAACTCTGCTCTTCATAAATCCAAGAACAGATCTCTTCTCCTGGATCCAATTCAGTGCCACTGGAGCTGAAACTCAGTGGTCTTTCATGCTTAGGTATTACACTACCCTCTTCCCTTCCCAAAAGCGTAACAAAGAAAGGAACCAGAACCAGCCTTCAATCCCATTTCCAGGCTTTGAAGAAGAATAGAGCACCAAAATGTCTGGGTGGCAGGATCACTCCTTCAACGAACCAAAGCCATGCTCACACTCCTGTTGCCTACCTTGACACGCTGGAGCAGCTCAGATGCTCGATCAAGTCTTGAAAACCAATTAGGAAATTTTCCACAGGCTTCCAATGGGCAGAACACCACCCACGAAATACTCGTTTTCCCTTCAGATTGAAAAGATGAACTATGCCAATCACCACTATTTCTTTCCTTCTCTGCCTCCTCAAGGACATGGATAAGGTCGACAAGTCTTTCTTTACCCCTGCTTCTCCCTCTATAACTCAGAGACTCCCCAAATTTAAGTTAGCAGTCCCAAACAACACAGTCCTCATAGGTCACAAACTGAACCAAATATATAAATCCTTACTATAAAGCTGTACTTATTTATTCATACACATGACTACAGCCTACAAAAATTGTTTAAAACTGTAATTTTAAAGAATAATTTGGTTTAAATCCATCTAAGAGTCTGGCTACCACTGTATTTGGGAATACTCTAAAGCTTAAAACGTGAATGTCACACAAAAAGTGCGAAGTAGGAAAATACGGTACATAAATGGCCAGTTTCCCATCCTGCTGTATTCAACGAAGGTAAAAAATGTCTGGAAGTCAAACTACAACATCCTCAAAAGACTTACTCAAAGTTGAACAAATACAACCTGTGTCCAAGTCTTCAAAGAGAAATCTAGCTTAGGAACCAATTGGATTTGGGGAAAGCAGCAAACTGAGGAAGAACACATGGCCTTCAAGCCTGGTAGAACCGTACTGGAGTGGGAGTTTTTCTCTACCGTAGGACTCTGAATGTGTTTACACGAAGCCTCCACTTGCCTACTTCAAAATAAACACTGGCATATTGGAACAATACCAGAATCCCTTCCCCAGCAGGCCCCAGACCCAAAAGAAGAGTGCTGCCAGTGGCCTCCCCCATTTTCTCCCCAAAAGTCCAAGAGAGGCAATGGTTGAAGGTGCTCTGCCTCTAGAATCATGCAGGCAGCCTATGACTGAATAATCTCTGCTTACCCTTACTATTAATGAGACTTTGAGCAAGTTACTTTGCTTCTCTTCCCCTGGACTTACCCACTTCTAAGATGGGGAAAATAATAATAGTGTCAACTTTACAGAGTTATCATGAGGATGAAATAAGGCCAACCATGCAAAATACCCCCTGCCTGACACTAACAGAGTAATTGCTCAATAATGTGTTAAATGCTCTTCTCAGTAATCATAAATGGATCTTTTTGTGGTATCATTTTCTACTTGTTGGTTTATGAGACAACCAAGAAAAATGTCAGGTCTATCTGCTCTAGAGGACCCAACTGGCAGAAATGAAGACCCTACTTTTCTCTCCTAATGAAATTCTCAAACTTCAGTGTGAGACTGTCATCACACTCAGAAAAAGCATCAGAGCAGTAACTAGACCAAAATTTTGAGTTCCACTGGCTTTTCTGTAGTTTAAGGTTCCAATTACCTATAAACTTCCAGAAAGAATCAATTGTCTGGGTTTACAGAATCATAGAAGCTTAAAATCGGGCATAATGAGATCATCTATTTTAATCTCATTGTGTAAAACACTGAGACCAGAGAAAGGAAATGACTAGTCCTGGGTCATATACTAACTAATGAACTACAACTCTGAGAATATGATTTGTTCCATCCACTTTAGCAGCAGCTCAGATTTTGTAATCCAATCCAATCTGAAATGCACCTGGCCACTCCACATGAGCAGTGAGGCTCATGTGGCCTCTTCCCATGGCCTACACCAACTAGCTTTATACTAGATGGAAATAATTCTGCATCTACCACATGTTGCCCCTATTTGTCTGTCAGGGCAGAAATAGAGGAACTGATGGACTTCACATGTATAGGACTAGAATTTAAGTTTATTCAAAAGAATAAACACTGCAAACAAAGTAGAACTTAGCTCAGGAAAATGTGTTACATCAAAATTTTCAGAGAATAACTACTAGACAGTCTATTCTGCCCCCAGTCTGCCCTGCTGGAATCTATATTCCTTTAATCTAACTTATTTTAACAAGACCCCTGCCTATTACCTGCAGAGTGTAAAAGACAACAGTACTGATCATCTTCCTGAGCATCTCCAGGGCAAGGATATCAACAAGAGCATATCACACATTCCAGTGTGAAATGTGATCTATGGCACAAAGGAGCCAAGTGAAAAGCAGCAGACCAGAGCCTTGGGACAAGAAATCTACCTACTGTTCATAGTCTGAGTCCCTCTTACTGGAACAGATGCACTTGGGATATAAGGAAGGTCTTAAGATGGGTCGTTCTTCAGAACTTGTTTGTTAGGGAAGTTGAGAAATAAAAGAGGGTTTGAACATAAGGAAATTGCATTACAGACACACGCTGACCTGTCCACTTGTAGATGGGGTGAAGGGCAGGGGTTGGGGAAGATTCTAGTTCTGCTGGATTCTGGTGGATTAGTAATTTTACAATATTTAACACCCAGTTAGCCAGTGAAAGAGGTAACTATAGCAAGTTAACTGATTTAAAAAAAAAAAAACTGCCAACATAACAAGAAGGGGAAAGGTTAGGAGGAATGCAACAAAATTCAAATTCTCATTAGAAACAGCTGAAAGAGGCAGTACAGTGAAAAAAACAAATGACAGAGGATAACTTTCCTTATATTCTAAATCTGTACCATCCAGAAGGATGGCCTCCTACCCACAAGTGGATATTGAGCACTTGAAATATGCTTACTTCAAATCACAATGTGATGTAAAATACACATTTAAAACAGTACCAAAAAATCTCTCAATAATTTTATACAGTGTATACTGAAATAGTTAATATTTCAGACATACTGGGCTAAAATATATTGCTAATTTCACATATTTCTTTTTACTTTTCTCATAGCTACTAGATAAAGTGACTCTTCTTTCTACTGGTCAGTGTTGCCTAACATGGGGATCTCTATGGCCTCAGTGTTGCCTAACATGGGGGGGAAGAGGAAATTTTCTGTTGCTCTGTGAATCTAGAATTGTGCAGTTCAATACAGTAGCTATTAGCCACATGTGGCTTTTTAAATTTAATTAGCAGCTACAGTGGCGGGGTGCCTGGGTGGCTATCAGTTAAGGATCTGACTCTTGCCTTTGGCTCAGGTCATGAACTCAGGGTCATGAGATTTAGCTCCAAGTCCTAGTCTCACTCAGTGTGGAGTCTGCTTGAGATTCTCTCTGCTGCTGCCCCAGCTCATGTGCTCTCTCTCAAAATAAATATTTTAAAAAACAGCAGCTACAGTGGCTAATTAATGTGAATACAGAGGAGAATACTTCCACTGGAAAAAATTCTACTGGTATAGTGCTGTCCTAGAAGAATGAGAAAAGAGGTGGATGTTTTATACAGAAAAACTAAAACTCTTATCAAATCAAAGCAAGACTAGAAAATAATGGATTTCAGATAGTGGACTGTGTAAGTGGTGAAATTAATGGGGAAGTTCACTTAATTCTGGAGTATTTATCAATGTCTTATTAGGCCGTTTATTAGTAGTAGTATACGGTAGCTAGTCAAAAGGTCATTAAAAAAAAATAAAAAGGTTCTATTCCTCTGGTAGGTCAGGACATCCCTAGTACATCCCTCACTTGCCTGCCTTACTGACCATTCATCAGCTCAGTCACGCCACTCAGGCTACACTACTATGGTACAACTTTAAGAGCTTCCAGGACAAACACCATTTAGGTAGTGCCACTTTGTTCCCTCACACTATTAAACATTTCATTTTACTAAATTAACATATTGTGTTACCAAAAACCTGTTAGAGATCATTCCTTCCCTCAGCTTACACACAAGGCTTCCATTATACTTGTTTCAGTCTGACAATTTAAGCAACTGGCCGGGAAACCCTTATCCATTCAGTTCCTGAACATGAACATGAGTGTACCTTGTACATCCACAAGTACAACCAAGCACTTACTTGTACAATTTAAAACCTTAGGTCTTTAAGAAGAGGAATGTTATTTTGATTCCTTTTCTACCACAGCATGGAAGTGCTGGGTTTATGAATATTGTTCAAAAAATTTAGTTAGCCATTACTGCCATGGCTAAGCTGATTATCTACGTGAAACTGTCTTAAAAGCTTGGAGGCAACAGACATTTCCAATTCCAACCTGTCAATTCAGTGGTCATAGAAGCAAAGATAATTGGCAGTTATCTACTTCAGAAAGTAAGAGCTCCATTAGTCTTTCCACTTTAGCTAGATTAATAGCAGAAGAGCTCTGCTGGTCCCATAGGCCCACGCCACAGAAGGAATTTATATATAAAGGACGTGGCCATCTCTGTACAGCAACACAATATGTGGGGGGAGTATAGTGGAGGACGGTATTAACTCACATCCAAGTGGAACAAAAGAAAAATGAAATCAGCAAGAGCACCAGTTTTAGTATGATTTAAGATTCCGTAAGTAGCTGAATTTCTTTACCCTTAAGCCTTCCCCACTCTGCAAGGACTAACAGGTGACTTATGGTAGCACAATGTGGTGGTTATATCCGGCATGTTATCCAAAAGCTTAAGTGACAAATCTTATTCACTAATCAAAAACTGTGAGTGAATTCACATTCCCCACTCCAAATTTGGAGGCTAGGCCACAGAGATAGCAGTGAGAAACTCATAGCCCTGGTTACCTCCAGACTTTCTACTATAAACAGGTAAAGAGGAAAAACTGGCAGCATCAGAATGGAGAGGGAATGAAACACTAAGTAAGGGGCAGACTGTTTGAATATACATAGCACAACTCACTCCTTGGAGTGTGTTATGCTTCTTCAACATCTGATTCTGTCCATATTGAATTATGTTCTCTTGCTGGTCATGGCTCTATTTTCCCCCAATTGTCACCTCCTCCTTTTCTCAATATGAAATAGCAAGTCACTGACTGACCAGGAAAAAGGATTTGAAATATTAGCTACCAAAATCAGAATCCAGATGTCTGGTATAGTTGGGATGCCAATTCCAATGTCTGCTGTGTCATTTAACCCTCAACTGGTGTTTCCTTAGTCTCTAGGACTTATCAATATTTTCACGAGAGGAAGGTAAATGGGCCTCTCAGAATTAAAAGATAATGGTTAATGAGATTTTCCCAGCACTATTTCCTGCCCCCAGATTTTTAGAGTGCTGCCCCTCTGCCCTTGGGCTAAAATGCTTTCATCAAGTAGCTTTTTTGCCCCTTCTGGATTCTTCAGTAGTAGAGCAATACGTAGAAAAGTAGTGCCACCTTAGTTGCTCGTTGTTAGTTATGTTGATCCAGAAAAGTAGTCATATTCTAAGATGCTTGTGAGATCCTCTGGCACAAAGTAGCATGAGGCAACAAGAAAAAAATCCAGGAACAGCGCAATAAAGAATAACATTGACATGAACAGGCACCATTAAGAGATAAACTTGCTCATACTGTTGAACAGAAGGGTTTTTCCAGAAAAGTCACTACAGCATCAGAGAACTGTGCCACCACCAGAATACACTCTTTCCAGAACATTTAGATTAAGTCAATGTAATCTATCAGATTTTATACTAAAAAGATGAAACTGAAATCAAGCAAAATTTTTAATTAAAAAGGATAATTATAAGTTTGGCCTCTACCATATTGCATAAAAGCTCTACTTTTGGGGGGCAAGGAGAATGGTGGCAATGCACAGAACTGATAAACCATTTCTTGTTGTAAAACACTGGAAAGCAGACAACAATCAATTAAAGTGAGTTTGCTCCTGAGCAAGAAAATGAAACATATTATTAGCATACAGTCTATCCTTTTAAAATGGTAAAGGCCATTCTGGATATCTGTAGGCAGCTGATTTCACTCTGTGATTTTTCAAATGCTTACTTAGTTAAAACCTTCATCATTTCAGAAGAGTTCAGCAACCACCTGGAATTAAGTATGTTAAGTCTAACCCCCTCTAAAACAACCTGGGTATTGAACTCAAATACAGGCTAAAATAAAAACTCTTTCATAATAAAGGTAAAAGTTGTGTTTTTCAAGAGCTTTGGTTAAAAAGAATAGCCCACTAATTTCTCTGCAACTCCAATCGAGATTTTTTTCTTTTTAAAGGACTCCGGAGTTCATGGAAACTTTCCATTCGTTTTTTTTTTTTTTTTTTAAAGCAGTTGAACAAATGTGGAAGGGACAAAACCAGAGCATCACTGTCAGAAAGCAGCAATATTTTTGATTCCTGTCCCCTCTTCCCCACCTCAAAATACCTCACATACTAATGCAAGAATCAGTAAACAAATAAGGAAAGCTTTAGAAGTATGTGCAATTGACAATGTATTCTGAAGATTTCTTTTCCCATTTCTTAGTTTTTAAAAAAAGACAACTCACGGCCCCCTTCAAGACACCTTCTGTAAAAAGGAGCACCTGGTTTCTGGTTCTTTCTGAGTTCACATAACGAAGTGGATTGCTAGCGAAGCACACAAGATAAAAGTCTGAAAAGGTGGATACCACAGATTTGACCTAGAATCAAGTTTCCTCCCTGCCGTTCCAGGTATCTTCTTTCCACACTTCAGCATTAGCAGACATAAGCAACAATGGTTACCTCCAAGATCGCCAAATTCACCTTTCCAAAGGCACAAAACATTTATAGGAGTTTAAAAAACAAAACCAACAAAAAACCTGATGGTATAGCTGAACAGAGTACTCTTGTGTAAAGCATTAAAAGCATCAGCCTTTTATTTTGTGACAAGTTTATTGAACAGTATTCAAGAATTTATCTTTATAGACAAAACCTCTGCTGAATGATGCCAAGGCAGTATTTGCTGGCAATGTTGTATGGCCATACTGGCAATGAATTATTTTATTGTGTTTGGTTTCTAAAACTTGGGACTACAGTAGAATTGCCAGTTATACTATTTAAACGTGGTAATTTTGAAAGAGTGGGAAGTTTTAAAAGTGATCACTGCCAGAAATTCCTTACAGATTTAACTAGCAGCAATTTTACAGTTTCTTTACTTATTTTTAAGTGTTCTTGAAATTGATGAGTGGAATTATTTTTAAACACTTGACCCACACCTGTACACAATGACAGAATCCAATAAAAAGGACTTTGAGTTTGATTAAGGCTTTCATGGATCCTTATTTTATCCAAGGTATGTTTGCTTATGTCCATACACAGCCCTAGATTTTCATCCAGTGGGTTAAGACTGACCTAATTACACTCTGAAATTCTGAATAAAAAGTTCCCTAAAGAAATCTTCACGGTTGATGCTTTGACAACTCCAAAGCTAGAACTACATTTCACTTAACAATGTTGCATTTTTTTAAAAGCCACTAATAATTGTACATCCAAACTACAGTATTAAACACAGAATACACCTCCAAATTTTGCTTGTAAACTAAATGTTTCACTGAAGTTCAGAAAAAGTTTACAAATTTGCTTATTTATAAAATACATTTCGTAGATTTCTCTAATCCTTTAAACAAAAAACAAAACAAAACAAAACAAAAACAAAAACACCCCAGCAAGAGGGTGGGAGGAATTAAAACCAAATGGAAAAGATTCTCCTCCATTCATGTCAGTCACCAAAAGACAAAATTTACACATAAAATTGAAAATATCATGATTGTGTTTACAAATGCACACAACTTTGAGCGAAGCTTTACAAATCCTTCATACCATACAAAGCAAATGAGAAAATAAATTCATTTTCACCCCAAACCTAGTTCTTCTGAGAAAATTCGCAGGAAGAGAGGTATGAGTGATTTCACAGAATATATTTTCAAGTAATTTTTTTAAAACTCAAACTCCAATGCCCAGAACAAGATGAACAGTATGCTTAGAAGTTAGCACTATATTAATAAGTCTCAGATACACAAAAATCAAGTTCCAGAGGGCAAAGCATTTAATTACATTTCACAACGAGAAGCACTGTTGTGACTCAACCAAATATAAACATAGTTCTCTCCAATTTCTACACAAACCACTATTTTCTTACTTTATTTAATTTGATGAACAATGAAATCAAGTTTTCCTTTTCAGCATTTATCTAAGATGTAGAAATAACAAAGTAGTTGCAATAAAGTATATGAAATATTTAATAAGATTGTACGAACATATAACCAAAATAAACTGTGAAAAAAGATAAAAGGCTTTCCATCTTCAAACAACCCATTTTTCTAAAATGAAAATAGTCAGCTCTCCAATGGGGAAAATAATCTGCAGTTGAAATAAGACTCCCAAGCAGCGCTGAAGTTTTCTGCACTTGATCTTTGGAATGAGAAATGATTACTTAACAGAAAACTTAAATTGAGTAGCATACATAAACATCATATTGCTTTTTTAGTTGAAGAGGCAGTATCTTAGTGATCTGTCAAAGCAAATTTGTATTCATGAATTGTCAAAAGACCAACACAGCCATGTCTTCTTTGAAAGTATAAACAATCCTTTCCCTAAACAAAAAAATCCTGTACTGTCAATCCTCTAAGATTGTAGTGATGAAAAGGCTTTCTAAATCTTATCACGCAAATGAAACTGCTGCCACTCTTAACTCTAATACGCGAGACGCTGTATTTCAGTGTTCCACTGACTTGCAACACCAAAAAGGCACTATTTTTTTAAAATAGGAAATACTTCTTTTAAAAGGCTGACCCCTTTGTAAGTACATGGATTTGCAGGAAATGTTGGGGATGTTTCAAACCAAGACAGAGGCCCATGTAAAAGACAAAAATTGTTTTTCATGATATCTCATCAATCTCCCATTCCATATGTTTATAATATAATGTGACATATCTTTAGAGCATTTTAACGAAGAAGGAAAGTAACCATAAGTAGAGCCTTTTGTAGCAGTGAGCAGGATGTTGTAAGGCAAATGTTTTCATGACAAGGACACTTACCAACCAGAACCCATGTGGTCCTCCTGCCTTAGTGTCCTGAATGCCAAAGAAGAGTATGAAAGGGCAAGGAGTCTCAATTCTCTCCCCTCTGGCAGCTGCACTTGTATTCTGTATGAAGAATTTTTACGAACAGGCTCCTGATCGAACAACTAGACCAAAAAGCCTCCAAGTAACAGGATTAAATGCACATCTATGGAACGGCTTATGAATCTTTTATTCTCTAACACTACTGCTAACAGAGCTAACAATTTCAACTTCAGTTTTAAAAAAAACCTAGATATAATAATGCTCTTTCTTATAAATGGACCTTTTGTTTAGTTACAGGCCAAAATTTCACGTAAATTTGGGACAGAAGGAAATTGCCAGAACATCAGTCCATCATTGTACAGGACTTCAAATCTAGCATCTTAAACAATGATTATTAAAAGTGGTTTCTGGTTTTTGATGCCATCCAAACAACATGAACAATTTTTAAACTGACTAAACTGAAACATGGCGGTTAAACCAAAAAGGCTCTGGTAGGTAGAGGACTCCGTATTTTATTTTTGTGGCAAAAGTTCTTATTTCACACAGTTTGAAGTGTGACATTAGAAATCAAAGTTCAAGGTTATAGCACAAACCAAGTGTGGAGTTTTATATTAAAACAACAACAAAACAATTCTGCTCATTTACAAATGAGTCAATTAGGCAAACAAAAAAGCAGCAACTTCAGAAGCAGGACTGTCTATACAGCAAGAACCCTCAAGAAGCAATAAAGGTACATACAGTGATCTGTATACAGAGATTTTATTCAATTTTAAAAGAAAATGAGGACTTTAGACAAAGCTTTGACCCTATAACAAAGCAAAACTGTCCAGCTTTAAACCAAATTCCAAGAGTAGCCAACTTCTATTTTTCAGCAGCTGGCAAGAGCACCCTTAATGAGCTCTATTGACATTTCTATTTTCTTCATCCCATATGGTATAAAACGAAACCAATCTAGACTCCTTGATAAGCTTTATGCGGTCATTTGTGTTTTACAAATGGTTTCTCTAATGGTATGCCAAAATCATTTTTGTGTTCTCTCCAGACAGCTTTACTGTAACATACAGCAATATTTATCCTGGTAGTGAGTCTTCTGTAAACAGTCAACCAATACTCTATGTTATAGAAACCAATCTATATGCAATTGAAACAATCCACAGGTTCTAACCTGGAAATACTAGGAAAACAATCTGGATGCATTAATCACAGCACTATGAAGACCTACCCTCTAAAGAATTGATGTGAACAGCTACCCTAAGACAAGTTTTACTTTCCTTGAGCCTATAGGTCTGTCATTTAAGTCAATGACAGCAGCTGTGGCTTCATCCCGAGATTCGAAGGCCACCATGGCTTCGCCTGTGGGCATACCTTTTTCATTGTATTTTAAACACACTGAGCCGGGGATCACTTGATAGCCATAAAAGAAATCTAAAATCTCATCAATAGACACAGTAAAGGGCATATTCTGCACTTTAATTACTGTAGGTCCTGGTTTTCCAGAACTAGATCCAAAGCCAGGGGGTCCACCAATGTGAATTGGGCCAGGGCCAGGACCAGGGCCAGGCCCAAAGGCTGGTGGCCCACTCAAATGCCCAGGGGCACTTCCAAGACCAGGAGGGCCACTTCCGAAGCCCGGGGGGCCACCTAAACTACCAGGGCCATTTCCAAAATTCTGAGGGCCTCCTCCAAATCCTGGCCCACTTAAATTATTTGGTCCACTTCCAAAACCTGGAACATCCAGTCCTAGACCAGGCAAACCACTATTTCCAACTGAAGGCATACCAGGCCTAGCATCACCAAAGGCGCCTCCTAATCCTGGAGGAGGGAGTGGTGGCCCAAAGGCATTTGACCCACCAAAATTACCAGGAAAGTTAAATGGAGGCCCATTGTTGGCCTCCTTAGATCCTACAGTCAGGAAGGCATGCTCTTCACCTCCTGCACCAGGCATTCCGGCACCGGGCATTCCGGGACCGGGCATTCCGGCACCGGGCATTCCGGCACCAGGCATTCCCGCACCGGGCATTCCCGCACTGGGCATTCCCACACTGGGCATTCCTGGAACTGCAGGATTACCTGGCACAGGTATCTTTAACCCTTTTTTTCCTTGGGCAGGGGGATTTTTCTCAATCTCTCTCATATCTTCTAGAGTAACTACATGAACAAAAGCTTCTCTCCCATTAAGTTTTTTACGGTGTAAGCGTTCAGACTTACGTGCATCATCTTCATTTTTAAACTGAACCAATGCCTGTCCTAGACCTTGCCCATTGTTATCAACAAGAACATGTACAGCATTTTCATCCACTGGGATTCCTTCTAGGAACTGAAGAACATCCATCTTGGTAATGCTGAATGGAATATTTGTTATGTGAGCACAGACTTTGGCAGAGCTGACATCCCCCTCCGGATTTAACATCATTTCTCTCTGGTCATAGCTGAAGTTCTGCAGTCTTTTACGAATCATATCTATCTTTTCTAGCATACCTTTCTTAGTAATTGGATGCACTTGAATAAAGCGATTGCCCATGTATTGTTTATGACGACACAGAGCAGCCTTATAGTCAGCCTCATTCCTGAACTCTACAAAGCCTTCACCAGTTGCTTTCCCATTGGGTCCATAAGCAATATAAATACTATCTTCCACAATATCCAACTTTTTAAAAAAATCAATGACATGTTTGTTTTCTGCTTCAAATGGTAGCCCTTTCAAGTAAACACAAAAACCAGCCTCGTGTGGTGATCTTGACCTTGACCTTTTCTGCCCACTGGGCGATTTTGACCTGGGAAGTGTCTGAGGAGGGGGATGGGTTTGTCCAGAAGGTCCTATACTTTGCTTAAAAGTGATATGGCCTCCAGCAGCTACCCACTGTCTTTCTGTGGCAGGACTAACTTCCACATAGCGTTGAATCATCAGCATTCTGTTTCGTTTCAAAGCTTCAAATGTATCTTGAGGGGAGAGAAACTTAACCAATCCGTTCCCATTATTTCGACCTACATGATCTTTCAACAAATGCACTGCATCAACACGGAGCCCATGGAAAAAATCTCTGACATCATTTTCCATTGCAGAAAAGGGCATTCCATGCACACTGACATACAGATCATCAGGGTTGATGGGAAGTGGTTTCACACTGCTTTGAGAATTCATCTGGATAGGGTTAACAGGATTCAACGGACCCAGAAACACAGGGTTCAGGTTATTGTTCAGATTCATAGGTGCTCCAGAACCATTCATTCCAGCAGGCAGAGGTGCCACAGGTGGCGGGTTCAAGGGTGGCATGCCAGACATGGGTGGCAGTGGGGTCATGGGTGGCACAGAAGGGACTGGGGGAATTGGGGGCACAGGAGGCACAGGAGGCAATGTAGGTACTGGAGGAGGAACTGGTATTGGGGGAATGGACGGCATTGGTGGCAAAGATGGCATCGCTGGGATTGGAGGAATTGGTGGTGGTGGGACTGTGTTCATTGGAGACGCTGTGCTCGGAATGGTTGAGCTAAACGTTGGGCTCCCAAAAGAAGCCCCCATATTTGGAGGAGCCGTTCCTATGCTGGCTGTGGAAAATGTCTGAATGTTTTTGTTGCTTTCATGAACAGATGTGGCAGCAGTAACTACACTGGGTGAAGGATTATTAAAGTTAGGTACTGTTGTAGGCAAATTTACTCTGCCACTCATTCCTGAGCTAGGTGGCGGTCCTGATCTACTAGCATTTGCTGGTGGTATATCTAAGTTGGCAGTTTCAAAGCGCCTACGACTCAGTTCAATCATATTCTGCATTTCCGTTTTACTACTCAACAAAAGTGTTACTTTTGACCCTTTAATTGTACCACCTGTGCGCATCATACCAAGCCTTGCATCTTCATCAGTGGCAAAAACGATGAAAGCCTCACCCAGTTCACCCCCTACAATATGCACGCCCCCATCAGGAATGGTCAATCCAGAGAAGAAGTGGCGAATGTCCATGGTCCCCGCCACAATTGGGAGACCTTGCAAACGGATGACCACAGCCATGCTGCGCTGAAACCACACACACCTGCAGATGAGAAAAGGCAACGGCCAGGTCAGACTCCTGTTTATCATACCAAGTTTTTAACTACAAGAATGACCAGCTACCTAATTAGGCCCTCAAATATTCCCTCAAACTATCCCAAGCAATGCAGGGTTTTTTTTTTTTAATTTGAATATTCTAAAAACTGAACATTATGTGCCATTTACAATGTAAAACCTAGACAATTTCAACTTCCAAAAGGCATTAATTCTGTAAACAATTAGAAGTTCAGTCCCATGACTCAAAAGTTTCAGGGAAAAAAACCACCGTAAGAAAGTAGAGTCACCAGTTACATCATTCAGACCACTAATTATTCAGTAAGATTTAAAAGAAATGTGCAAGTCAAATCAGGACACAAAGGTGAATAATCTGCAGGGGAAAAACATGCAAAGAATCTATCAAAGTTAATTTTTAAAAGTGGCTTAGCATTTTCCTTATAAATTTGACAACTTTCAAGAATTATCAGTGTCATTTTATATGACTCAATCTCAAAATGCAAAACAGAAACAGAAAAGTGGAATACTAATGAATTACAAATAATACTTAACACTAAAGTAGATTCAAGTCTCAAATGAGAATGGATTCCATTATTTCAACCTAAAACTCTTCAATCTGCATTACAGCTCTATTAATTTAAACTATATATGCAATTACTTATTACAAACAAGGTTAATACATACTAAGAATCCAAAAGAAATACTGAATAGCCAAAACCTTAGTTATCTATATTCATCACTCCAAAAAGTAGAATCAGTTACAGTGCCATTCATCATAGCTGTTTTAATGAAAACTCAGATCCAATGACTCATTTCCAAACTCACCATTAAAAAAAAACCACACACACCCCAAAATGTCTCATTCTTCCCCCACAGAAAGCTGTTAACAAAAAAAGGATATTTTTTGGTTTTGCTTTTGTTTTAAAAAGAACTAGGGTATGAACTTTGTTCAGTGACTGCTATATAGTTTCTACTCAACAGAATTCCTGTGGAATTTCTGGGAGCTCACTGATCTCCTTAAAAAACAATCCATTCTGAGTTTTTCTTTTTGAGAAAAGTTTCTCCAAGATTTAAATAAAATTTCAGTATTTCAGTTCTTATGGCTTCCAAGAATAAATGCAAGGGCAGTGCTTTGTAAAGTTATACAGAACAAATTATTGGGAATGGAAAAAAATATTAATTTGAAATTAATATGTTCAACAACACAGAGTATTTTCCAAGCCATCTTAAAAATCAACTTTTAAATATAAACTAGCTCTGTGACCTCAGGAAAATTATAAATTATTTGAGTTTTGGTTTTATCACTTCTCAAACAGGAACATTAAAAGAGCAAAGCTTCCTGCTGCGAGCTCTAAGAATCCTATTAACTCCATGAAAGCAGTTTTTCAGTGTCAAATATTGTGTGAATACTAATTTGATACAACAAAATCTGTAATTTATCTCAACTATTATGACTGCTGTACACAAAGCAGAGATATATTGTTTGGCTTTGACAATTCTCTCACACACATACACAAAAATAAAAGCCACTTTCAAATCTAATCCAGAAAGACTGGCAAACAGAAAATGCTTTTTGTGAGACCATTATAAAACACCAGAAATTTGGGGGAGGAGAGAAGCTTTTCATTTTTGGTTTGCAAGTCAACAAGAAAAATTAATACTAAACAAATAAATCACACCAACAAACTCTTTTCTCCTTATTTTTATTACTATTTAGCAGTCTATACAGAAGCTCATCCAGATTTCAAGTCATTAAATCAATTCTCATTCCTTACTATCTGTAGCATATTGGCTTCATGCAAAATTAAGATAGCATTCCTGTTCAACTTCAAAAAATGCTTACTTAATCACTACATGGGGGAAACATCATGAGTAAGTAATCTAAGCACCCTAAATGACTTGAGAGATGTTAGTTTGCACTTGGACAGCAAAATGGGAATTTGATACAGTCCCAAGAACACAAAAATTAAACACAGGGCTAAAGTGACAAACACAGTAACTCTTCAAAAACAATCTGCTGCTAAGAGAAGGGATTTAGTGAAAGTCTGCACAAGGTACGTACGAAAACATGATACTGAAAAATCTGCCCAGATTACCAGCTAGAAAAGGGTTGAGGATTAAACCAAAGAGCACAAGAGTTATTCATAAAGCCATCTAAAGAGAAAAAGGTTTTAGGTTCTGAAAAAATATGAAATAAGATCTGCTATTCTGCTACTAAGCACCTGTTTGACAGGTAAATCATTTCAACTATCTTCAGCCTACCTTTGTTATTTAACAAGAAGGTTAGGTTCCAATCACTGAAGTTTCATCTCAAGTCAAAATAGGTACTCTAAAACATATGACCCATTGTCTACAGCTATACCTCTAAGGAATATTTAAAAACCATACCAATAACAAGCACCTATATTTGCAATTAGTCTGGAATGCTACACTGAGGGAAAAAAAAAAAACAGCATACTGCCTAATAATAAGGAATCAGCAGGAGAAATGGATCTATATAAAACTGAATCCTGAAGAAAGCAACAACTGTTCAAGGACCAGTCCACCCCACCCCCATCCCTTAGATAAGACTTAAAAAAAAAAATACCCCACAATTCAGTTACTACACATATTTTCATGTTACTAAATAAGCTATCTCATTTTATTTTGTATAAAAACAAACCCTCTATTCAAAATCTCTTACCTGATAAAACAAGAGATGTATTTTCTTAACAAGAAGTAGAGGCCAAGTCAATCCTGTGGGCAACCAATTAAAACCAACTTTTAGACTGCAATAGAGAATAAACGGAGGCAAAAATCAATGCAGGAAACAAAACAACACGCACAGGCCACACTGAACTGTACATTATGAAGGCGAGTCTGAAACCACCAGAATACTTCATTAGAATGCTTATTAAAAAAAAAAAAAGAAAGAAAGAAAGATACACATGTACCAAGCAAAATCCCACTCATGCTTGTTACTTGGTATCGCTTTCAAATGTATCTCTCAAAACATTATATATTTACATACATCAAGAATGTGCCATAAATTAGTCCAAGAATGAATCAATTAAACACTAAAACAGTCATAAAGCTCAGATTCACAGCTGGTAATTACTTTTATCACTTGATGATTAAACCAGTCCAGAAAATTCCATTATACAAGTCCAACTACAACCTATTTCCTCAGGTCCCACCAAACGTTTGATGAAAAAGCACAAGTTCACACATAAACAGTTCCAAGACATGATAAAATCATCAATTCAAGAGTAGTTATGGAAATTCTTGCAATTGCTCTTCCAAAATATCTCCCTTTGTACCAAACAGCATCAAGCACCAAGAAACATAAATGAAGCAAAATTTCAGGCTACAACAATTAATTCCTATTTAAAACCACTGGGGTTCAAAATCTTAAGGAAAAGTGCTTTTTCTTCTAACACCAAAACTGTTCCAAGAAACTTGTTAAAAAACAAAACAAAACAAACAAACAAAAAACCCTAAAAATGTCTGGCATATTAAGAATAGTTCCCAAAGTAAAAACGAATCACTATCTCTTACCGAAATTTTTTCCAAACCGGTGAGGTTGTGAACAATTCACAAGCAATACATAAGATCAAATGATTAGACAACATTAAAAAGATAATTTTTTTAATTCAGAGAAAGAGGAGAAAATCGTCACTGGTAAGTATTAAGATTACCAACAGAACACTATTTTAAAAATGCTCATTTTTAACTATCTTTCAAGTTCGAGATACCACCTGTGAGCTTAATATTCATCACTAACATATCAAAAAAATTTTAGTGTTACTCTCAACTTTTTCTAAAGGACAAGCTAAACATCTTCTAGACAACTACTCAAATTACTGCAGTGAGATTGTTTTGCCACAAAAGCTATGCACAAATGTCACAAACAATGCTTTAAAAAGCCCAGAGCACTGTATTAAAACTTTTACACAATGTACAAATCAGTTCTAATTAGGTCTAAAGAGTTTTAAAACTCTTAAAAACTTCTAGGTAATTTTAGAAGTTTGTCTAACAGGTCACAAAGGGAAACATAAAACACAATAAAGCCTGCTTTAGGTAAAGGCTATGCTCAATGAGGAAGACCATGAATTTTTGCAATATTAATTTCTAAATGTGCAAGTTTGACTCTAACAGAACCAGAGTAATTTTCTAATTAAGCATTTATGATTAATAGATGATCCTCCACTGGAGATCCCAATTCAAAACGTCTGGTATGGGGCTCAAACATGTGCCCTGAAGGTAAGGGAAACAAGTTCCTCAGCCTCCTCCCTTCCAGACCCAAGAAGGTTCCATATGTCCATTTGGATAGGAACAAGTTCAGAGTCAGCCAGTTATGCCCAAAGGGAACACACTAGACCTACTATCAAAAATTTCTAAAGGGTTGCCAGAAATTACTATAACAAGAAGGAAAAGTCTCATTCCACAAGTTGAAAGGCCCAGCTGATTTCAGCAAATGCCTCATTGAAATTTTATGCTGTTCGATCTAAAGTACGAAATCAATCTGGAAATAAATTTGTGAAACTTTTCTATTTAAGCAAAGGGGAAAGCCCACATCAACCCATACCAAAGAAAAGTACCCAGAAAGTTCAGGCTAGAAGCTAGAACTTTACAACTCTTGGCGTTACACTTCTTCCTTCAAATGGACAAAGTAAATAGAAACCAAGAACTGAAGTACTTTTGTTCTCAACACTTCACTTTGTAAAGAGCACAATAATTTTATAGAAGCACCAATGTTTTCCAGGAACCGACTTATTCCTGTGTTCTAAATGTCAGCAAGCAATGGAACGTAGGATCCCAAAATGAAAAATCCACTCCAACCACCTTAAGACTTGGTGAATTTTAGGAGGATAAGACTGAAACAATTTTATGCAACAAAACATCTAAAATACAGGTTTTAGGGAATGCCTGGGTGACTCAGCGGTTTGGCCCCTGCCTTCGGCCCAGGGTGTGATCCTGGAGAGGGGGGGATCGAGTCCTGCATCAGGCTCCCTGCGTGGAGCCTGCTTCTCCCTCTGCCTGTGTCTCTGCCTCTTTGTGTGTGTCTTTCATGAATAAATAAATAAAATCTTAAAAAAAAAATACAGGCTTTACTTATATGTAAAGCATAAAGGTATGAAGGAGAAAATGGGCCCGATTTGCCATTAAATTCACTGATACATACCAGATCTAAAACAAGAAGATTGCTCTAGTATAGTTTTCCACTTTGTTAGGAATTAGTCCTAACATAGTGGCTTTGCGTCAGCTTTAGAAATACAAGATACATGCACAAATTACAAATATCTGCGATGAAAATTTAGCATATTATTATGACACAACATATTTTCTTATTTACTAATCATTTCAATCACTTGGAATTTCGGAGTAAAATGTCTGACAAGAATCCTGGTATAGTCAGAAAGCCAAAGCACAAACCAGTTGAACTTAACCGTTTCCACTCTTCATCTGGTGATAAACATCAAAAAGTGAATTTTAACTTTGTCCAGGTATCAGTCTTAAATCAACAAAAACCAGAGTACAGCAGAGCTAAATTCTTTAGATTCAAAAAATAAGAAAAGCAGCACCCCTCAAATGTTCACCTCAGAGATGAGCAACAGAGAACCAATCATAATGGGCACAATGCTATAAAGCCGCATAATCACATTATGACAGGCATTATGGAAAAAAAACACAGCTTCATCCACTTGATTTTGTTCCCATCCCCAAATGGATCACATTTCAGATTCTGGGATCCGCCCCCCCCCCCGATCATTCTTAATGAAACAATTCTTCTGACACTGAGGGACATGAATCTTTTAGATAGCTGTTACTTAACTTTCCCATTAACCTCCAGTCCTCAAAAGTGGCAAATCAAGACATTTCCAAATAAGATATAGACTCCCCCTGCCAAAAAGACTATAATATTATTTTTCAGCCCTCCCCCCAAATGCCAACAAATATGTTCATTATCTTGATTTAAACTTAAAAGCAACAATATTACTTCTAACCTAGCCAACCACATTCGCCCTCACTTTTGGTCTTAAGACTTAAAAAGTGGCTTGAGACTTAATGAAATAAAACTCATTGCAAACCAAAAGGTATCTGAGTGGTGGTAGTAAAATCTGATAAACTATAAATTAGGTGAAGTTATTTTTCTGCTTAGTTGACCTAAAATATTTAACAACATTCATTTATACCACGAACATTTATTAAGTACTTGTGGCGGGGACAGGAGATATAGAAATAGTCGACAGTCCTTAGATTTTAGGGAGAGATATCTAAGAGCATCTTTTGTGCAATTACTGACACTTAGAAGTTCTCTCTACAACCTCTACAGAAGAAAATATTCATCTAAACTGAAAAATGGCGTGGCTCTCTACCAAATGGAATAAAAACAGTATGTACATTGTCACTGGATTCCAGCACCTGGAATACACAGGTCCACAAATCGTTTCACATCTAAAAATTGTACCAACAACCCCCAAACTCTCAATATGCAATCATCAAAACATTTGGCATATCACAAGAAAGTGAAAGAAGCCAGAAGTATGCTGACAGGAGCACATAACAGTAAGTTCCAAGTAACTACCAAAGTGGTTTCTAAAGCTTCATTTTTCACCTAACAGATACGAACGTAAGAAAAATACAAGTTATGCATTACAATCCTTAAACAAAATAAATATTTAATCAAGCATATAAAGATGATATAAAATGCATTCCCTGTTTCATTACAAAGTTTTCCAGCAATACTGAGTACATCCTCAACCTTTATTTAAACACGCCAAACATTTCATTTTCTTAAAAAATTGCCATAAAATTATTTTAACCACCTGTAACAGTTCTTCCCAACTTTTTAATATTCCTGGAAAATGCCTGAACATAATTACTTCCCACTAAATCCAGAAGTCCATTCAGTCAAAATCACCAAATTTCAAAAACGAGTACAACCAGTCTTGTGTTACATTTCTATAAAACAAAACAAACAAGATCAGCCCATTATGACCAGACTCTTAGGATATTTTTCAACTGCAAATGCTCTGAAATACATTAATAACAATATAAACTAAAGAATAAACTCCAATGTAATTCATCTCACCTCACTAATACTGCATTTCACAAAAACGACAAGATTTTAAACCATTCAAGCAAGCAGCCCTAAGAATACTCAAGTCACAAGTCCCTCCTTCAACAATCCTTAAGTTGCAATTACATTTTTCCTCAGATTATACTGACTGGAATTACACTATTCTTGAGAAATCCTGAATGGTTCCTGACAACTACCACAAATTATATTAGGTCATCTCTGGAAATCCTGGAGTCAAGGGAGGTTTCAGGGTCCAGAAACCGCTCCCACGTTAGAGCCTGCAACTCAGGATACAGAGCTCCCAGCACTCTTATGCTAAATAACCCAGTTACCTTCACCAGAGCCGCTCAGATTTTTCACTGTAAAGTTCACATTACAGGCACACAAGTCCGTGCATGCATTTACAATCTGGCAGCTAAGCCTCCTGCACTGGTGTCCATCCCCTACACAAACCTGTAGATTCTCAAAGACCCACCCACTTACTTCACGTGGCTGCCAACTAACACCTCCAGCCTCCACTAGAGAAACTCAACTCACACATCAAAAAGCAGCCACCCTCCACCTCCTGTTGGGTCTGCTCCTCTCTCAGGGCTGGAGGCTCTCTCCTAAGGGATAGGCAAAGGTGGTGCTCTTTGCAGCTTCTTCCCTGCTTGGGGATCAAGGGCCTGGCTTCTGAAATTCTCAGAAGCCTGGGAGGCGTACTCACCCCCCACTTCCTCGCTACAGAGGCCGGCTTCTCAAGTCGCCGACACTCTAGAGGGTAAGCCCCGCCCCGCGCTGAGCCTTGGAAGCGTTTCCCTACAACCCTCTCCACCTTCGGCCGAGAGGGCGGCCGGTTCTGACTTCCTTCCTAGGCTCACAGGAGTGTACCGACTGCAGCTTCCTCCCCACAGGTGTATCCAGACTCCAGTCCCCTTTTCCTGTTAGGCCACAGGAGCCTCCTTTCCACTTGGGATGGAGGGAGTGTCCTCACTACGTTTATCTCCTCACTACGGGGCACAGAGATGTAGTTACAATCTCTGTCCCTTTAGGGAGGCACAGAGAATCTTGCTCATTCGGGATAAACATGTGTTTTCACTGCAACCCCCGTTAGTTCGCAGGCCGCTGGGCCACCCAGCTGTGTGTGGCCTCCTCCCTCTCAGACCACGGGGGCGTCCTCCCTAGGGCCCCGTCCCCACTTCGGTATGCAGGCTCATCCTCATCCTCATCCTCTCTTGCGTCCTTCCTGCATCCTCTCAGGATTCAAAGGCGCAAGCGGCTTCCCAGGCCCCCCGCAGCCATGCCACGACCCTTTTGTGTGGGGCGCTAGCAGCGGCGGGCTCGGAGGCCTCCGAAGGCCCCGCCCCGGGCCACCAAGGGGCGGCTCGAGCCCCGCACAGCCCCGCCCGTTCCGGGCTGCGGGAGTCTTACCGGGGAGAGCTGCGCGGCACCCGAACCCAGACCCGAGTTACCCCCCGCGCGAGTGCCTCCGCCCCGCGGCCGACAGCCCCAGCCCGAACGGCTTCCCGGAGCCCACAGCAGCCACCACCTCTTTCGCCGCTTCACAAAATGGCCGACAGCCCGCTCAGCAGCTCCGCGTTCCAGAAGGGGAGGGACGGAACGGTGACGTGCGGGGCGGAGCGGCGCAAGCGCGCTGAGGTTCTTGGGCAATTTCCCGGAAGTTGCAGGTATTTGTGGCGAGAGGAACTTTTCAGTCTTTTGCGTGTGGCGTTTGCGCACTAACTCCGCCTAAGGGGAGTGATTGATGAGCGGTGGTTTGGGTTAGAGAGTCTCGCTTGGCCCCTCAGCGCGGGGCTTTGTGCAAATTACTTCTCTTCCACGATCCTCAGCGAAACGCAAGAAATAGTGCCTCCTTCGCATAATTGTTTTGAGGATGAAATGGACCACAAAGTAGTGCCTGGTTCTGTTGATGATGCCCTGACAGAATTTAAAAATTTCAGTCAAAAAAAAAAAAAAATTTTCAGTCCAGGGGCACCTGGGTGGCTCAGTGGTTGAACATCTGCCTTTGGCTCAGGTCATGATCCCCGGGTCCTGGGATGGAGTCTCGCATCAGGCTTCCCAAAGGGAGCCTGCTTCTCTACCTGTCTCTGCCTCTCTCTGTGTCTCATGAATAAATAAAATCTTAAACAAAATAAATAAATACAAAAATTTCAGTCCAAGGAGCCTTACCCAGTTCTCATTAACCCCTCCACGGCTGCACTTTAGTTTTAGTTTTATTTTATTACAGAAAAAATAATTCTTGTGCTTGCCCTGGTCCTAGCCTCCCAGACTCTACTCCTGCTGCCTCAACCCTATTATTGTGATTGAAACCGCCAGAGGGAGGCCTGGGTAGCTCAGTTGGTTGAGTGTCTGCCTTTGGCTCTGGGTGTGATCCTGGAGTCCCAGTATGGAGCCTGCTTCTCCCTGTGCCTCTGTCTCTCTTAGGAATAAATAAATAAAATCCTTAAAAACAAACAAACAAACAAAAAAAAACACACATGAAGATGGATAGAGATTAAGATGGACACACTAATGTTTCAGCAAGACTTAACAAATTACCCCTCTTCCTTATTCTTAAAGCTTCGCCTTTTCCTTCCCGTTTTTCTATAAAAACCTTTGTTTCAGGAGCTCTGCATCAATGTTGACATCTTGCTTACCTCAAAGTATACCTAAGAATGAGACTCTGGGGATGCCTGGGTGGCTCACCAGGTTGGTGCCTGCATTCGGCCCAGGGCGTGATCTTGGAAATCCAGGATGGAGTCCCACATCAGGCTCCCTGCATGGAGCCTGCTTTTCTCTCAGCCTGTGTCTCTGCCTCTTTCTCTCTCTCTGTATCTCTCATAAATAAATAAATACATCTTAAAAAAAAAAAAAAGAATGAGACTCCAATAGCCATTGCCGGTGCTAATCAGGAGACTCCCTTGAAGACATAATCAATAGGGCTGGCCGTACTGCCAGATTCCCAACCAACTGCCCAGACCCTGTATTTTTTTCTATAAAACCCCTCAGCGTTTTACCCATTATGGGTAGGCAGTTTTGAAGGCATTAGCCTGCTGCAGCCTCCTTTGCCTGGAAATCATAAAACTATCTTTCCTCTTTACCCCCAAACTCTATCCTTGTGCTATATTTCAGCTCTGGAGCACAGAGCTGGTTTTCAACAACATAATGACTGTCATGAAAATTGAGCTAATTTTTTTTAAAGATTTTGTTTATTTATTCAGAGGAGACACAGAGAAAGAGACAGAGATATAGGCAGAGGGAGAAGCAGGCTCCCTGCAGGGAGCCCGATGTGGGACTCATCTTGGGACTCTAGATCACTGCCTGAGTGGAAGGCAGATGCTCAACCACTGAGCTACGCAGGTGTCTCTGAACTAATCTTTCAAATCAGAAAGTGAGGGGTCAATTGAGCAAGAAAATCAGGGACTAAGCTCCCACAACTCCAACAAGTTTTTGGGAAGATTCGAGGGGCAGACTTGCCTGGTACTAGTGCAGTATGCCAAAAACAGAAAATTGGAAAACCAGGCCACACTTTTAAACCAAACCTACACTTTGTTACAAATACTCTTTGTCGGTATACTATAGTGTTTTGAAACAAAACCTAATAAATGCAACTGGAAACAACAACAATCCAGGTTGTTTCCTGGATTCACTCCTGGAATAGAAAAAGGGCATTAATGAGAAAACTGGTGAAATCTGAATAAAATCTGGAGTTTAGTTAATAGTAACATATAGATGTTAATCTCTTAGTTTTGACACAAAAGTTTTATATTAGATGTTAGAATTAGAGGAAACTGGGTGATGGGCATCTAATTCTGTACTGTCTTTGAAACTTTCTCTAAATCTAATATTAGGGCAGCCCCGGCGGCTCAGTGGTTTAGCGCCGCCTTCAGCCCAGGGCCTGATCCTGAAGACCTGGGATCGAGTCCCACATCGGGCTCCCTGCATGGAGCCTGCTTTTCCCTCTGCCTGTGTCTCTGCCTCTCTCTCTCTCTCTGTCTCTCATGAATAAATACAATCTTTTAAAAATAAATAAATAAATCTAATATTACTCAAGGGGCGCCTGGGTGGCTCAGTGGGTTAAGCATCTGCCTTCGGCTCAAGTCATGATCACAGGGTCCTGGGATTGAGCCCTGCATGGGACATTACACTCAGCAGTGAGTCTGTTTCTCCCTTTCTCTCTCCTTCTGTGATGTCTCTTGTTCTCAGTCTCTTTCAAATAAAGTTTTTAAAAATATATAGTAATTCAAAATAAAAAATTTGTTTAAAAACCTCCTCCCCTATCCATATACATTTACCCCCTATCCATATACATTTACCATACTTCTAGCTAGTAGCTCTCATACTTTTTTGACCATCATTTGCAACCAAGTATACACATTCAAATATATAATCAAAATAAAATACTTAAGGGGTACATGGGCCTTAAGTTGGTGGAACATGTGCCCCTTGATCTCAGGGTTGTAGGCTGGAGCCCCACATGGGTGTAGATTACTTAAAAATAAATAAATAAGAGGCACCTGGATGACTCAGTCGGTTAAGTGTCTGCCTTCAGCTCAGGTCATGATCCCAGGGTCCTAGGATTGAATCCAGCATTGGGCTCCCTGCTCAGCCAGGAGTCTGCTTCTCCCTCTGCCCTTCCCCCGTGCTCATGATCTCTCTCTCAGATAAAATCTTTTTAAAAAATTTAACAAAACAAACAAAAACAAAATAAAATACTCAAAAATGTGTGATGTACTCCAATTTATTTTTTCTCTTGCTTTTTAAAATTTCTGATAACTATCCACTTACAGTGTCAGACTCACAAATGGAGAAACTACTCTAGCTACATATCAGGCCTTTTACTCTTCCAGCTCCTTTTCATTCCTCATTCATCTCTAGCTCTTTCCCTGACTGGAAATCGTGTTCTTGTTTACATAACACCTGCTTTAAAAAGCTTTCCTAGTATATCTAGCATAGTAGTTTCTAATATTTCCTCTTATTATTGTATTTCTTCTGTAGCACTCATCACAATCTATAATAGCTTTGTTTACTTATTTTCCATCTCTCTACTAGAATGAAAGCTCACTGAGGACAGAGTCCTTTTGGTCCCATTAGTCAATATATTCATAATACCCAGAATAATATTAGGTTCCTGACAGGTACTCAAATAGTTGTCAAGTGAAGGGATATGCAAGCAGACTGAGTCATCTACTGGAATCAAGTGGGGTGGTAGTTTGCTCCTGATTCCCAAGTACAGTTTGGAATTCTCCCTGAAACTTTCATAAAGTCACAAATTAAATAAAGGAAGGTGATTTTATTTCTCTTATCTGCAAATTAATAATTTTTTAAAAAGAAACATAAATTATTAGAATAATGGGTGGGGTTATATAGATATTTCTAGCTCCATTAGGTCAAAAAAATAAAAAAATAAAAGGGGACAAGAACAGGAGACAAGGCTTCTAAGAAACTTGCTGTCAGTCTACAATGAACACGAAGAGGTGGGCTTTGGAGCCAAAAAAGAAATTAAATAGCAGTTGATTATGTTTGTTCCTGAAGGAGTCATTCTTGCTGTGCAGTAGTAAGCAACAATTCAAATGTCCACATAGAGAACTGAGGTCTCTGAACAAAGAACCATCTTCCAGTTCCTCTGGCTCTCCCCACCAAGAACATCCATTCACCATAAGACCAGAGAAGTACTCCTGGAGAGAAACATGAGTGTTCCCCCACCAAAGGAGCTGAGGCTAGAGGAAAGATAGTTTTCTTATATTTCTGTCTTGGGCTGATAGTAGTTGATGCTGAAGTCAACTGGACTACACCAATTCTGATCTGATATGAAGCATCCACTGGGTATAATAAGATACCCAGATGTGCATGAGCTGGTGAAGCAGGAGAAGCCAGGACAGCACAAAGTCAGAGGCCCACTCCTCTAGTGTTGGGTCCACTTGATGCTTTTGAGGTCAATGCCATCCTGCACCATCTCCCAGAGAGGGCTGCCAAAGAAAAGAGACATTGGGTGAGTAAGGGCTTAGATAGGAAACAGCTGACATTGGTCTCTGACCCCTGAGCCCTGACTTAACTCTATCCGTTCTTGTCTCTCCACTTTCTTGCCCTGACAAACCCCAACATAGTGGTTAACAAGTCCTTCCCAGCTCTCTTTAAATTCTTGTCAGCTCCAGCCTCTCCATAGCTGCCAAAAAACAATAACTGAGTACCACAGGTTCAGCTCCAGTGGGGCCAAGTCAGTGGCATCAGGTTGCGGTCATGTTCAAGAAGCTCTCATTCCATTCATGAGATACTATGGAAACAGTTTCCCTAGTGGAACCAAGACCCCTGGGACCTATGTAAGCATCAAGTTTCTGCCTCTCTACTCATCCCGACCCAAATAGACCACTTTTCAACACTTCTTTCTAGGTTTTTCTCTAC